AGTGGCTTAATAAATTCATTAATATTAAAGTCTTACTTTGGTGTACATTATTGCGATTCTCTGATTCACAACTGATGCATTGCGTGTTGTAAGGACCGCTTTTATACTCGTACTTACTAGTAGACACGTTTTGGTTTTGACAAGGTCAACATGTTGCAGAGCTTTGAGACTATTTCATATGCACTAAACTTTCTTCGATTGTGTAGGCATCATAGATAGATAAAGATCAAAGTATTTTTTATCCATTTGAAATGTCAAATGAGAGTATGTAACATATTTGGCTCAATTTATTCGTAAAATATAATATAACTTTCAACCAAACAATTTATTGTGAGAAATAGGTACTTTAAGAAACAATCAATAATAAATTTAAATAAATGATTTCGAAAATTACAAAGTATCATCATCACTTAAAAACATCAAATATATAAATGACAAGATTAAATTTGGTGGCACTGGACACCGATGTACAGGATTTCATGTCTAGTATTAGTACAGTCAATCCGTCGAATAAAATATCGTTTCAGTGAAAAAAAAACCTAAAGGGTAAGTCTTGTTTTTTCTGTTGCCAAATGACGTCAGTAAGCCACCTTGGCGATGGGCATGTTCAACTCGTAGGCGTTTTTTGAAAAACTCAAAAAAACCCTCAAAAATTTTTTGAAACGTATTTTTCTTGTTTTGTATGCATTTTAGAAACTTTGACTTTCTACATTGAAATGTGCACTGCAAATGTGTACTTGAACTGCCCAAAACCGCTCTATTCGATCTTTCATACCTGCGCAATTTATAACTTGAAAACGGTAAGTAATACAAAAAAATTGTTTATACAAAAGTTTTTGGTAATTATGTACGGAACAACTTTTCCATTTAAAGTTTTCCATTAAAATGATATTTTCAGGGTGAAAAAGTGAAAAAACACTTTTTTTGAGTCTTTAGCGCCACCTACAATGCGCATTTTTTGTTGTACGAGATTGCAACACAAACATAAATTGTAGTACTCAACGCCCTCTACAATTATGGTCGAAAAAAAAGTTTCTAAATGCATACAAAACAAGAAAAATGCGTATCAAAAAATTTTTGAGGGTTTTTTTGAGTTTTTCAAAAAACGCCTACGAGTTGAACATGCCCGTCGCCAAGGTGGCTTACTGACGTCATTTGGCTACAGAAAATACAAGACTTACCCTTTAGGTTTTTTTTTCACCACTCAACCTACAGATTGACTGTACTATATGGTAGCGTAATGGCAGGTTATTTGTAGTTTTTATCAAAGCCAACATTTCCTTTTTCATATTGGAAGCTTATTGCAACTCTTTTGAATCGTATTTATTTTATTTGAAGCCAAAATACTGAAAACAATATCCAAATATTCTGTAATTCATCTGTCAGCGGTTAAGGTTAGCGTACTTTATTAAATTAACTGTGTGAATATTACAGTTCATTATTTCCATTTGTTATGGAAGATCCAATGGAATCTTTTATAAACTCTTCTGCCATGGTCGAAGAGCCTCGTTTGGTCTTAAAATCTAAATTAGTGACCAATCAAAGTGAAGATTCGTATTGCATACACTCACTATACATCAAGTGAGCATGCTCCTAAGTGGTTAACTTTAACTTAGTAGTTTTCAACTAATCTTAAAGTTATTACTAAGGGTGGCTTTTTATAATTTATTTTTAAATAATATAAAAACCCTATATGACAGCAAGAATTCAAACTTCTGACACCATTTGATGGATTACTGCAGCAGCCAGCAAAAGAGGCATTGGCGGACGAACGGCCGAGGCACGTAAGTCCATCAATGCCTAGTTGTGGTCGCAAGTGGTAGTTTCTCAAATATTGCACGGAAATTTAAAATAAGTAGTAACTAGGCAGAACTGTTTATTGAAAATATAGTTTTTAAAAATTTAAGTAGACTTTCCGGTGATTACGCCGTCATGTTTCCCGTTACGGCTCTTACCGCCTCTTAAATTTCAGATGGCTTTAAAGTGAGTTCATTACACTCATTGTCTTTATTTGAACTTATGTTCAAATCTAAAGAAAAGTTTACTAGAAAAACATCCACGCGGACCAGGCAGCGGACGGGACTGGAACCCGCACCCATCGCAATCCGGGCGAATGCACTGACCATTATGCTACCACGGCCCTACTTGCCGCGTCGAAATGTTCCTAGCCTCAAGCTGCAAGGCAGCGCCATCTCTTCGCATTGTAGGTAACCCACAATGTCAAATGAATACTTTTTCAAGTATTAAACATTTGAAACAAGAAATAGCAATTATAGTTATGTTTTTATTTATTTTTAAGCACTTAACTGCTAGATGTTCAAATCTAAAGAAAAGTTTACTAGAAAAACATCCACGCGGACCAGGCAGCGGACGGGACTCGAACCCGCACCCTTCGCAATCCGGGCGAATGCACTGACCATTATGCTACCACGGCCCTATTTGCCGCGTCGAAATTTTCCTAGCCTTAAGCTGCAAGGCAGCGCCATCTCTTCGCATTGTAGGTAAATGCTTAAAAATAAATAAAAACATGAACTTATGTTGTCAAATACAATTTTACATTTATTATTTTAAAGCATGTAACTGCTTGATGTTTAAATCTAAAGAAAATATAACTAGAAAAAATTCCACGCGGACCAGGCAGCAGATTTTTACAATTTTACATTTCAAAATTAAATGACGTACAACGATTTTTTTCATTTGTTTTTTTTTCAATAAACAGCTTTTAAATGTTACCTTCTTGGTTGCCATAGTTCCATTTTTAAATTACACGACAGACGTGTGAGTATTTTGGCCTGTACAGACGGCGGACTTTTGGGTATATTATCTTTACGATCTGTAATTTCAAACGATTTCATTGTGTCTGCGTCTAACTTATGCAGCGCTAAATGAAAGAAAATAAAATCAGTTAAGCTTCAGTTGTTAAGCGCTTCTACAGAAGAATCAAAATTGTTTATAAATAAAACGAGCACGGTTAAAATAGTTTTTGATAGTGGTTTAACAAGTAACAACTGATTAAGGAAGGTATGCGTATACGAGCGAGTGAGGATCGTCATACTTTTGCAAGAGTGCCTCCCAAATAACAATATCATTTTCTACGGTGGGAGCCCTGCGCAGACGCTAGACGCTTTTCCCGTTAATTTGCCAACTCGGTAAAATACCCTCTCACTATCAGTGAGCAATGCGTTATCATCTATCATATTTTTAAATTGTTGGTAAAATAAAAGCCAATTTTAACATCTCCGCTAAATCACATTTAGTCTAGGCGGAAGGCGGGGTGCAGATTTTAAATTACTTTTTGAATTAGATAATTATTTTGTATTATCGAATAAAACTTATTTTATATAACAAAACATAACTTCAAATATTAACCAGGCATCACAGTATATCTCGGAATCTGTACGCAACTGTTAATTTAAAATATTATAGGAATGTAAAACTTCCTGATAAGCTGAATGTAAAGTAATATTTAATCTACTACCATATAACGCTTTATAATTGCGGATCTTTTTCCGATTTATGTGCGAGCTCATAAATATTTTCTATTCGTTTATTAATAACATCACGTTTGACTATGTAAATAGTCAGCTGATTTTTATTTGTATCATAACTCTTCCCTGCGAAACCTTCAGAAGAAGGGCAGCCTTCCTTTTTGACTTAACCATTAATAAATAGTTAGCAAATTACGATAGGCAATAACAAAATAAGAAATATTAGCTCGCACATATACAATATCAGGTCGTTTCATACGACGACCTTCGTCGCCGAGTGGTTTGTACGCCGGGTTTCATGGTGTCGCCGACCCGAGAGGTCCCGGGTTCAAATCCCGGTAGGGGCAGATGTTTGTGTGATGAATACGTGCATTTGTACTCCAGTCATGGATGTTCAGTATGTATTTCTATATAAATATACTTATATGTGTACAGTATATGTATTCTATCCATTACCCTAGTATCCCATAACACAAGCCTTATAGTGCTTACTTTGGGGGGCTGGGCTAATTGGTGTGAGTGTTGGAAATATTGAGTTGTGAGTCGCTTATTTTCGGTCACATAATTTACGTTCAACTGAATTTCTGTTGAGCTGCCATACGAACGTAATTTATTCAGTTACTATTGAGCGTTAGTACGGGGTGTTCGTGTCGTCGAGTGCAATGGATCCATTAAAAATATTGTGTATTTACGAAGCATATTCAGAAGATGAGGCCAGAAAAAGAAACTGGGTAAACCCACTGAATAGTCAGAGGCTGATATGTGGACAGTTCCATATTTTATATGAACGTTTATGTGCAAATCCAGATATGTTTGAAAAGTACTATCATATGCTATTACGTGTTTTTCAAGAATTATTACACCACGCAACTTGTAACAAACTGTTGCTTCCCCACTCCCCTTCCTTGCCCTACCCTCACCCCGACTGATATTCGGACGAGCTTATGCGCTGAGTCGGCAGACAACTCATTTTGCGTTGTCTTGTGGCACCAACTGCCTTTTTATATGAAACCGAATGCAGCAGAATTTCTGCGACCGAAATTCTGCGACTCACCACTCACAAAATTACGCTCGTTTGGCATCACTCTAATATGTATTTATAGGTATATTAATATAATTACATATTTACAGTATATGTATTCTCTCTGTTACCCTAGCATTGCATAACACAAGGCTTACAGTGCTTTCTTTGGGGCTAAGCTAATTGGTGGGAGTGTTGGAAATATTTATTGTTATTTATTTATTTATACTGTAAAATAACATTGTTTTTTTCGTGTACTCAATTTTGTGGTATTAAATTGCATTGTTTAAATTTTGTGCATTCAATGCTGGCACTATTTGGCTATATTAAAGTGATATTTTTCTATTCCAGCCTTTAATCAATGATAGATATCCTGTCACTTAAAGCCATAAAGTTACATAATGCATTTACTCATGGCGCTAAATCAGATACAAATTTTAAATCACGTAAAATTTCACCGTGTTTTAATAAAATATTCAAAATTCACAATCGATAATCACGAATGAAATGTGTTTGTTTTATTCCCAAAGATGAAGCATAAAATCATAAACAACTTAACAAAAAAGCAGACCTACGTTGACCTACGAGTATTACCTACTACGATAAGGTGTTTTATAAGTTATCGTACCTACGTAAAATAAATTAAAAGAAATATTCAATTTGATTTTTTATTAAAATAAATAGATTATTAGCTATGTACAGTCGTCAAACTTAGGGACTATTACTTAAAAGTAATGACTTTAATGATGGGAGAGGAGGACGGGCGCGGGGGCGGAATGATGCGCGGGCGCGGAGTGGCTGACTACCGCGTTGAAGCCGTTGTGGTCGTCAGCAGAGTATTGCACCTTGCGCACGGAGCCGTCAGCCTCCACCAGGGAATATTCACCCTGTACGGCGTCACCGTCGCGGGTCTCGTGCTGAGACTTGTTGTCACCAGTGTGTCCGTCGGCTACGGAGTAGGAGTATTCGTATTTCGGATGAGCCTGTAATAAAAAAGTCATTAGAATTACATAATTATCATTCATTTGCCCCGGTTCAAAATCCGATTCAAAGTTTGTATAACTTACGTATTCCTCTTCCTGGTGGGCAACGAGGACCTTAGCGGCGGGGGCGATCACTTTAGCGACGGGGGCAGCGTGGTAGGTGACGGGAGCGGGAGCAGAGTGGTAAGTCACGGGAGCGGGAGCAGAGTGGTAAGTCACGGGAGCGGGAGCAGAGTGGTAAGTCACGGGAGCGGGAGCAGAGTGGTAAGTCACGGGAGCGGGGGCAGCGTGGTAGGCTACAGGAGCGGGAGCAGCATGATAAGTCACGGGAGCGGGAGCAGCGTGGTAGGCTACGGGTGCGGGAGCAGACTGGTAGACGGGAGCCGCAGCTAGGAGCTTGCCAGAAGGCTGATCATGACGGATGATGCTTTGGGATGACACGGATTCAGCGGAAGAGTAGTGGACGGGAGCGGCTTGGTACTGGACAGGAGCAGCCTGATATTGGACGGGGGCAGAGTGGTACGCGACGGGGGCAGATACAGCCAGCTTGGCGACAGGAGCAACCGCCAACTTAGAGGCGATGGCTTGGGTCTGATCGTGGCGCACAATACTTTGAGAGGAAACGGCATCAGCTGATGAGTAGTGTTGTGGCTCAGGCAGAAGTCCAGCTGTGGCAACAGCCAACGCAGCGCTGAGGGCAATAACCTGAAAGAAATATCAAAATTAATATTGAAATGTATACGCATGGATTACAACAGAATATTTAATTTTGATGCATTAAATTTCCAAAGTCACTTACTTTGGAGAACATGTTTACAACTGTATCGGTACAACTGATGCATTGCGTATGTTTATGAGCGCTTATATAGTAGCAGAAGTTTGGGCGTGACAAGGTCGACGACTCCAAATGTCAGTCAATGGGCTGAGTGTACGTCGTTAAGGAAATTATTTTTTAAATTTAATGAAAAGAAGTTAGATGAAGTAATTTGATTCTCTATGAAAGAATTTGTCACCTTAAACTTTTTAGATGAGTCGACGATTCGGCACTTCTCACTAAGTTAATTTTTCCTTCTTCCTAGGACAAAGTTCAGGCTAGGAAGTACTTAAAGTTTCTGCAGTACAGTTATTTCTACAGTTGTTAGTATACTATTAGTATTTTCTGAGGTTCGGTAACCATAGGTTGCTAACAATTACCCTACTAATTCTTCGCAGAAAATGCACAGTAAATATCTCTCGAGTCAAAGTTGGTAAGAATAAATGGGATGAAAAGCCGCAGAATAAGTATTTCTATCGTCGATATCTGATATGACATAAAATAATAATTTAAGAATTAAGGTTCTTTTTAAATGGGTAGAAAAGAAACGCTACGCTACTTAAGTAGTAATATTTCAATAGGTAGATATAGGGCATTATAATGTATTTATTTTGAGCATTGTACTAAAATATTTTTATCTGAAAATATATTTATTCTTTCGGAATCGCACTTTCCTTATCCAGGTAAATGCACGGACCAGTATTTATGCTAACGCAAGCCTAACACACAATGTCAAAGGACAATGTTAAAATTGGCCTAAGAACCAACACCAATTTGGCATGTATGATAATTCTTAGTATATTTTTTGCGATAATTATCAGTATTTAGATTGTGACGGACACTTCCAGTTAAGTAAGCTAAATTAAAAAGTTAATAAATAATCTGAGACAATAAATACCATTTTATGTGTAGAATCTATGACAGCGCTGCAAACAAAACACTCTTTCTTCCCAATGCCGGCACTTCACTTTGCTGTTCGTATTTGCTATTTAAAAACATGACATCAGTCAGTCCTTTTCATTCCTTATTAAGCATGACAAGGACAAACTGTTGTCAAGTGAAGGGCCGGCATAAACTCGATACTCTGTGGTTGTGGTGCAAGCAGTTTGCATTCGCAGTAATCTGTGGCATTCGTGCATTCTCGTCAAAGAGTACATTTTATATTATATACGGAAAATTCTCGTTTCGGATTACCTGTTGTGTGTGTTTATTTGCGATTGTTTTTCCTTTAATGAACTATTACTATTTCGGCTATCAAATATGCCATCGATGTTCCCAAAGAGCAGAAACCTTATTTCCAAGTGCTAGTGAACCTGTGCCACAACATCCTGAGAGGATCATACTGCCAAGTTATTCAAGAGCACCTGATACACATTCACGCTGCATATTTACACAATATACATGTGATATAGAAATAAATACAATATACAATATGATACAATTATGTGAAAAATAGTCAATAAATAATAAGAAGCAAAACTACAGTTTTTATTTTATTCATGATTCCTACCTAACCAAGTTTTTTCTAATAGTTATTCTTTAAAATCACACCTTATAAAATGAATTAGTTGTAATATTAATTCACTTCATACTAAGTTCATAGGTTGACCTATGTTTCATTGAATATTAAATATAACCTCAAAAAATTGTTAGTTTTCCTAATAATTTAAGTTCTCAGAAGTGTCCGTCAATAATCTTTGTTTTCACAGTCATTTAGTTGCGATTTCGAACCTAGAAAATAATATTTCATGATTGTTGGTTCTTAGGCATGTTATGTATGGACGCAGAACAATGTCCTTTCTTCTTTGACATCTAAGGGCAGCTCCGCCACTATATTGCTATTTTTATGTTAAAAGGTCGGCAAACAATCCAATGGCCCGCCTTATGGTAAGCGACCACCATAGCCTATACCTAAACGCTTCCGATACCAAAACGGTGGGTTAACATAAATAAATAAGTTGAGTAAGGATGACATAATGTGTAGGATTAGACGTAATACGATTAATACGGATCAACCCTCCTCATTAGTGCTTGTTCATTGTAGCGAAGCTGTTGATCAATACTATTTTAATACGACATATCTTATATGGGTTTTTAACTTAATACTTACTTATAAAATCTCATTGGTAGGTAGTTTAATTGTGTAACAACTTGCCCAGATTTAACGCAGATGAAAGTAAGTTATACACATACCATAATTTACGTCTACGATAAATTTTCGTAAAGGACGGGTTTTTTTATGTGCTTACTGTCGTTACCTTATGCATGAATTATATTTTGCAATGAATTAGTTAATTGGATAAAATAGGTATAGGTGTAGGACAAGAAAAATTGGTTCGGAGTTGGATTGATTGTATTAAATAATAATTACTCAATGCTGTAGAAAAGTTAACCAGGTATTCTGTAGAATTCAGAACATTTTGTCGTTAATATATTGAATGCGTAGTAAGTAGGTTCTTTAATTGACTTCAAATAATGAATTAATTTGAAAGTCAACATCTAAATTACAGACGTAATTTAGATCTTTATAAAATCTCATGTCACGGTGTTTGTTATCGAATTCCTCCGAAATGGCTTCACCAGTTTAATAATATATATAATGTATTGTGTGTAGGTATTTGGCAGGTCCGAAAATAGGGCGTTACGAAGTTCACTCGCTGGTTTAGCTGATATTTAAATTAATCTGAGCTAATCTTGATTCTGACAACAAAAATAGACATCGTTTAAACAGAACGTAGGGTATGTATTGACAATAAGATATTTTGCTATTAAATAATTTTAATATTTGAATAAGATACAAAAAAGTTTTTATAGTTAGCAATTATATAATTTTAAAACTATTTACAAACATAACGTAAACATAATTTATACAAATTAGTCAACAACGGTTTTTATCAATCAATGGTGCGTTTGTTCAGGAATGATGTGTTTTGCGTGCCCTGTGCGTTTCACCACCGCATTGAAACTGCAAAATGAGAATAAAGAAAAAATAAATAAAAGAAAAATCTGTGATCTAAGGAACTATCAAACTCTTGCTATGTTTGAGAATACAGTAATTCGAATTGCAACGACGCCATTTCTATTTCTGTCACATTTTAAACTACCTTTGAGGAAGTTATTATTCTGGTTAAACAAGAAAATATCTACCAGTATAATAAATTATATAATAGTCAGTCAGTCATGTCCTATTTCAATGCCCAATCTATTAATTTAATAATAATCTCCAGAATTGGTTGAGTAGTGAAGGTATGGCAACGTATTAGGCAGTTTTGAAAAATATTTAATACGCAGCTAAATGAGATGTCATGCTCTTTAGCCTCTATGTGTCAACGTTGTCAGCAACTGTCAAAATAAGTGATGACTAAATATTTTTACACTAATTTATTTGAAACTGTACTTAAAATGAAATGATATGTTTTTGTTGTATGTAATTGTTCCCCTGTATTTAATGTACTATCTAAATACACGCATAGGCCTTTTTGTCTGGAAAAACGTAAAATATTTACACGTTGTAGCAAAGTGTAGCCGCGACGAGTGAGCGTGCCCGACTGAATGCAAGTCGGGCAATTACCTGACTTACGTATTGCCATTTGGCAATTTTGGGTATATAAGATATATGACTTTTAAAAAATCATAGATACTGTAATAATGTAATCTACCCGCTGTGTTTGTCAGCTTCGTACTCGACGATGCGCACGGTGCCGTCCGCCTCGTGCAACGAGTAAAAGCCCTTCACGACATCGCCGTCGCGGGTCTCATGCTGGCTCTTGTGGTCTCCGGTATGCGGATCCTGTATCGAGTACTCGTACGAGTACTTTGGATACGCCTGCGGTAAATAAAAATACCATTTAGACTATATTTCTTTGCAATTTTAGATCTTGGCAGGGCCAAGCCTTTTATCAAGTCGGGCTTGGTTCATTTCAACGAGCCATAGCTCTGGACAAAATGAGCTGGAAGGAGTATCACATATCCTCGTCTTGTTACTACCGGTGGAAAGAATAGGCATTAAACCTATTCTAGTCATTAAAAAAAGCTTGCTATAGCTCCATGGGGTAGACGAAGATTGTCTGGTTGGTAAGGTAACAAGGCTCTACCTCATTAGCTGACAGAATCTGTAACATTGATTCGCGCACATACTCAGGTTGAGGTCATGGTTCAGGTTCGAGATCAGATTGAGTGCAACGATCTACCAACACATAAAAAGACAATGTATAATTACATAGTAATCTTCGTGATGTTCTTGATGTTCGTGCTGATCTTGGTGTTTTTGCTGCTGGTGTCCACTTTGGTGAAGTACCAAGCTTTGGGATGATAATCCGAAAGAGTGCTCATGACCGTGTTGAGGGCGAGCCGCAGCCAATACGAGGACAGCAGAGAAGCACACAATCTATAAGAAATAAATGTGGTTGAAGTGAATCATCATTAGCCTATTTATATCCCGTAAAAGTTGCGACACCAGGCTTTTCTTTAGGAAATAGTCGCTTGAATTTATGCTAAGAACTTTCGACGCACCTATGTTAAGGTATTAATAACAAAAGCACAGATACAAAGTTCATATTTTAATGGCGATAAATAGTTTATGAAACCGCAAAATACCGTAAACCTCGGGATATTATCATCCATCTCGGACTGCATTACTGATGTGATAATGATGGTATTTTGAATATGAAGGATTGAAATTAAGCCAACCTTATGAGGCTTAATTTTAATTCTTCATGTTCAAAATAAGAGAAGAGTATTGAATTTTGATTTTTTAAAATACTACCTAGAGAAAATAATGAGCAGATGGTAATAGCCAGATGCCACCATGAGCATATTATATTCTATATAACGTGCCTCCCTAAAAACATGAGAGCGTTCTGGCATAGAGGATGTTCCGCTTTAATGGGAGCGCTCATTTAGAAAAGTATCCGCTAACTAATAGAATAACACAGTAAAATCACACTATTATTTGGTGATGTTTTCTTTCTATTTGTGGGTAAAGTTCCAGAGATATATAGTGTTGGGTTCGGCAAAATGATTGCGGCACACATTTCAGGATCCCTAACTATTTTCGCGTCTGCTTTCTACTCACATATACATAAAAACGGAACGGGGAAGTGCGCCTCGTACAATAAACATAAAAAAAAATTTCAAGGAAGCAAAATGAATATGAAAGTAATAAAACACGTCAAGACAGACCATATACATTTAAGAAAATAGCAGAGATATTCCTTATGCCACAATTACATTTGGTCGTTAGCCCGTATTCGGGTGCACGAAAGACGTTACTCGAATTCGGCCACCCGAAGAAAATTTACACTGGAGTAGGGACTACAAGACGGTGTCGGGTAAACAAAAGGAAATCTACTCGAATACGGGCGTACTCAACTCCGTTCATTTACACTTAATCGTTTACCCGAATTCCATTGACACTCGAGTTCGGGCTAACGACCAAGTGTAATCGCGCCATTATGTGCCCCTTGTTACACTATCCCTCATTTGACCCCTTATTGATATGAAGAATGGATATGACTAGAACTAGTACTTCTGCGATTGATAAAGTATACTCGTACCTTTGAGATCATTTTGCTGTGAAGGTATTAATGAGTACTAAGTTTTAATAAAATAACTTATTCACTGCACTGTTGGAAGTTCTCTGATAAAATTTTCAACTTAAAATCAACTTTTATACTTTCATGTTTTACACTTTACGCAATTGATGCAACTTGGCCGCTTATATTGGTGTAAGCTTTGTATTCAAGTTAAGTACTGCTACTGCTAATACTGGTAAATTGTATAAAAACTGCATTGTCTAAAAGTGCTTTATTGGAGACTAACGACACTCTCTTTAAGAGAGATAGGGCGTGGCCAATTTTTCGATCGCATTGGAGCGCCCGTCTGGAGAAGAAACCTCTAACTTACAGATGACCACAGAAAAATAATAGTACCTACAGGACTCCACGAAGTAGGGGTAGAGTTCAGGGTAGGCAACGGCGCGAGTGTATTTTTTTCTACCGCAAGCATCTATAGGCGGGCCATATGCTTGATTGCCACCCTTTTAACATTAGAGAAAAGAAGCATTTAGCTTTCATTATCTGCATATCATTATATGTCCACCCTGAAAGTCCTTTTTGGATATCGATGTTAGTAATTTGGAAACGGCGGCAAAGTTTCGAAGAACAAGTTTTTGTATTATTTTGAACAAAGCCCTTTCATTTGATACCTATAGCATTATGTTAGTGCACAAAAATTGCTATCGTGAATTTTCCTTTAAAATAAACGATACTTATTGTGCAGGTTAAAAAAACTTATTAAAAGGTAACTTCTATTTGTGAATTGTTTGGAATTTGTTAAAATAGATGACGGAAAGTCCACATTAATGAAATGAAATAAATTAGCTCTATAGTAAGTTTATAATTTATTGAATTTAGGTAATATATATATGACAATAATATCAATATTTGTAGTTCATAGGGTGTCTAGAGGCCTGGCGGCCACTAAGTTAGCACTGGATTTTATTTATTTAGAGTTTTGTTTACTGCAGGACTATTCCAAGCTATTGATTATGGACCTACGTTTATTTTAAGATAAATATGAAGCCTATTAGCATTTTACCGGCTAAATTACAAAACCAGATTGAAACTTTTTTCTTCAGTTAAGATATATTTTTAACACCAAGGACATTACCATTTCTGTAAGATAAAAGAGAGTAATCAACCTTCGACAAAGAAATTTGGTCCAAACAGGCTCCTTTGATACATTTGCATCATATTGAGTGTGTAGGGCTTTAATATAAATTGGACTGCGAATTCGGAACTTTATCATTTAACTTAAGCTGTTCGGTGATATTAAAGTTAATATATTATAAAATCAAAAATATGCTTACTAAAGTAAGGGATCATTTATTTAAAAGTTAAATATCTAATAAGTTCTCAAAAATGATTCAGTCAAGTAAATAAATATTTATTTTTAAATGTGTCTTAAACTGTTATTCTGTGAAAGAATGTTAAATTACGTAAACATTTTTTGTTTTATAATAACAACGTAGTTTAATAATAAATTTTAGACATTGCATATTAAATTTTAGGATTTTAGCAGATAAAAGTTTATTTATTGATTGTGACGAATTGAACTTATCTATTTTTTTACTCCTTTGTACGATCTTGGTGTCATTAACCATTGATAAAATTTGTGTTAAAATAAATACATTTCTTATTTAATTTTTTCGTTACTTTTCAAGTAATAGATTATTTTACTGCGTGCATTTGTTGTGATTAATGAGTATTTTATTGTTCTCGTTTCAGGTAATTGCTATTATTGCATTCGTAGGCGTTTGCCATGCGATAGAGCACGCTTATTCTTCACAAAGTATAATTCGTCATAATACACATGCGCAGCATCAACCGATCAAAGAGGTCGTTCCTGTGGAGAAGCATGTCATCATTCCCGTGGTGAAGAAAGTGGTGCCTGTAGGGCACTACGTACAGGAGAGCCACATCCAGCAACAACAGCACCATGAGCAGGATTACCACCACCAGCCCGCCGTCTCCTCGTTCCACATCGAGCGACACGACGTGCCCGCTCATCCACCCGCGGACTGGCACAAATACAACGACGTGAGTACTCTCCGATGTTGTGCGGTCATGGAGCGATCAGAGTCGTTCGAGCATGTGTTTGAGTGAATGTGTGCACACAGGGTCCCGCCAAGTATGAGTTCGAGTACCAGGTGCACGACCCGCACACCGGCGACTACAAGCAGCAGCACGAGGCGCGCGACGGACACGTGGTGCAGGGCGCGTACAGCCTGCGCGAGCACGACGGCTCCGTGCGCACCGTCAAGTACTACGCTGACAAGAAGACCGGGTGCGTATGACAAACTAATTCTTCAAAACAGCAGTGAGGTCACTTCATAAGCAAACATATCTTTGGGTCACTGTGGTTTTAATGATTTAATATAAAAGAGGATCAGGAGGATTTACTATATTGAAAACAAAGGTCCCAATTACTAAGAATTTTGATTGGTGATTAGTATCTTAGGTCTTAAGTGCAATCACGCATTTTCTATTAAACTTACCTGTTTTGACACTTAAGCGAATTATTTGGCAAGTGTTTCGATCAACAGCAATTGATCAGGAATTAATTTGTTCGATAGTATATAAAATAATAATATTCACGAGTTGATATAATAATTATGTATTTCTTTCTGTAACAGGTTCAATGCTGAAGTTAAGCACACTACAAAACATATCGAAGAAGAGAAACATCACTAAACACTAAGTTGGAACTGTTTTTATCATTGTTATGTTATAGTCTATTTGGTTTTATTATTTATTAAAAAGTTTTTGTCAATACAAACTTTATTTATTTTAAGCACTACATGCAATAAAACCATACAAAAAATCTATTAAATATTGTATAGGCACCGGGTATCGTCTTGGTAAATGCAGCAAAGTGCAGCAATTTCTTTTATTTGGGTTTTTTACTGGTGCCTAAAAGCTGTTATTGTTGCTATTAAATAAAGGAAATTGCTCAAATTGGCCCAAATGCACAAAAAATATTGACATTCGATTTTAACGGACACCTTTGTATAATATATTCATTTTAAAAATGACTTTAATTTTACCGGTTTAGAAAACATACAAATCATTTTTAATGGTTATGGGTGTAGTAACATTCAGCCAAAGACTGATCGAAGTTGTTTATATAACACTAGCGGTCCGCCCTCGCTTCGCTTCGGTGTAGAGCTGAAGTATAGACTACAGTTTTTGTTGTCAGGCTTGTATTATACACAATGACATTCATCTATGATTCTTCTTATACCTGCATGCAAAGTCTCAGCCCGATCGGTTTAAAATTGACAAAGTTTCATACAATTCCCTATTTTATCCCCTTGGGGGTAGAATTGATCAAATTCTTAGCGGATGCCTACGTCATAACATCTACCTGCATGCCAAATTTCAGCCCGATCCGTCCAATAGTTTGGGCTGTGTGTTGATAAATCACTATGTCAGTCAGTCACCTTTGACTTTTATATACATATATAGATAATAACGGTCATTTTTATTACCTGTATTTATAACCAAACTAAAATTCTCATATTTCCGTTTTCCAGTACTCATTTTCTACACGTTTTACATGATTTATTTGCTAATTTTGTTTACAAATGTTTGGTTTTTATTCTAAGATAAGCACGGTTTCTCAATATCAATTATTGTCTGTCAATAAGGTCGAACGCTCTGACCGCATCAACAGCCAAATATTGAATGAAGCTCGCTTTATTATAGCTCGCTTTATTATAGATTTGATTCTATTTTATTAAATTAAAACAATGTCTAATAAATATGAACAGTTAATTAAGATACGTATTCAATAATGGAATACATTGTGTAATAAGGTAATCATGTACCTTTAATTTCCGCCGGTAATTTGTAAAATATTTTTATTTGCAATTTAACACTTTTATTCTTGACTAGTGGCCCTCCCTCGCTTCGCTTCGGTGTAGAGCTGAAGTGTAGACTACAGTTTTTGTTCTCAGGCTTGTATTATACACAATGACATTCATCTATGATTCTTCTTATACCTGCATGCAAAGTCTCAGCCCGATCGGTTTAAAATTTCATACAAACTTTCATTCCCTATTTTATCCTCTTGGGGGTGGAATTGATCAAAATCCTTTCTTAGCGGATGCCTACGTCATAACATTTACCTGCATGCCAAATTTCAGCCCGATCCGTCCAGTGGTTTGGGCTGTGCGTTGATAGATCACTATGGCAGTCAGTCACCTTTGAGTTTTATATATATAGATAATTTGTTACGTCACCGTATTGACGATATGAGATGTTGTTGGGATTGCACTATACAACATAATTCAGGCGTCAGAATAAGTTTTCCTTGGCAGTGGATAGGTACCTTCACCAATCCTTAATAATATATCAGAAAATTCACGATCATCCGGGTTATCTCCAGTTCTCACTCGCATGTTTATAGTCAAATGCACCGATTGTATATCACGCCACAAATAAGAGCTTTTCAGGCAAGCCCTAACCTCATCGGCTCGGGTTCCCCGTGGTATTACCGGTACTTGGTCGATCATTTTGTCTTATCCGTTACACAAAAATAAATCCTTATAGCATGATTCAGTATTCACGTGCGACGGCGCGATGGCTTATTTCATGTATAAGTTTGGTGTTTCTATACCGATTTCTATGATTCTTTTTTTATTGAATAGGTAATAATGTTAACTTTTTTAAATTAGGGATGAGTGAGAGTATTATAAACGTAAGAGTAAACAAATATAATCAGAATGCTCCGAACTTCTAAGCTATCAGGAGTTACACGTGTTATTGTAAGTCAACCATAAAAGATAGACATATGTTGTTGCGGAATATTTTTTAGAAAATTTTATGTAAAATATTTCCGTTATACATAATTTCTATGTAACTTTAACCATTAAGGCTGCGCACGCGACGGAAGCTTAAAAAATGGAGTAACTTCTCCCGTTTTCCCAACATTTCCCTTCATTACTCTGCTCCTATTGATTGTAGCGTGATGAAAAGTATACTATAACCTGCCCAGGAGTATGAAAAATAATTGTACCAAGTTTCGTTAAAATCCGTCGAGTAGTTTTTGTTTCTATAAGGAACATACACACAGACAGACAAAAATTTGACTGATTGCATTTTTGGCATCAGTATTGATCACTAATCACCCCCTGATAGTTATTTTGAAAATATATTTCATGTACAGAATTGACCCCTCTACAGATTTATTATAAGTATATAGATTGAGGTATATATAATCTATCATTATGTCGCGTGTTTATACTATACGGTCCACTTACTTTTTGAAACTTTTCCATGTTGTAATTTCTATGTTTTAAAAACGAAAGTAGTAAATATTATAGATTGCGGGAAGTGTAAGTTTTTTTTAAATATGGTTTGCAACTACTTAATTGTATTATCTTTTTTTTATTATATATATATTTTTTGGTAGGCAAATGACTCTATCCCACCTGAATTAAAGTAGTAATAAAGTCCAAACGCGAAGATAGATCTATTTGTGCTTCGACTCTTATACATCTTTTCTTCATAATAATCAATTCATGAGCGTTCACACTATTTCCCCAAAGCATCACACCATACCACAGCAAATCGTAGGCGTATGCATAATATATGGTTATTACGGTCTATGTACTTGTGCTTATTTTTATTTGAAATAGAAAGTAGCTAAACTGTGCTAATTTTTCTTTAACATGTGATATATGTTTTGACCTATTTATGTTTGTGTCAATTTTTATTCCTAAGAGTCCAAATTCGTTAACAGTTTCTATGCCAATACTATTATAAACTAGTTCATGTTTGAGCAAGGTGTTTTACATAAAAAAAGAAAATTTATTTCCAAGTTGTGGTCGCTTAGCCAACCGCTAATGTCATTTAGAGCTTTGATTACTGCTGAACAATGATTGCCATCTTTTACATGTTTCAGAAAAATTTAAAGAGACAGATTACAACGAATTTAATTTACCCAATTTATAAAAAAATTGCAGTGCGGGGTTCCCGCAGATTCATAGATATATTTTGTTAAGGATAGCGAAACGATTTTGTGAAATCAAATATTTTTATTATTTTGTAGGATTGTTCATTTGATATAATATGTTTGTCGGGTTAAAGAATTGATCAGACTAGGCAACAAACAGGCAATACTTATAGTGCTTGAACTTTAAATACTAACACAAAATTAATAACCACTTCATGAAAAGAAAAAAATTAAGGCTTAAAACTACTTTTATTTTTAAATATTTTCAAACATAACAAAAAATATCACATTTAAGGAGCAGCTGGCGGTATTTATTATTTATTAATGCTGATTCTGTTCAGGGACAATGTGCTTAGCGTGGCCCTCGCGTCTCACTACAGCGTTGAACCTGCAAGAAAGAAAAGTAAACATTGGCAAATAATTTATAAAATAAATAATTTGGAAAATCTATTTAATATACATTACACTATGTACGTAAAGAAAATGTAAACTATTTTGAATTTTGTAATATCATTAAATAAGTGTATTACAATAAAGTATTGAGACTTTACCCGCTGTGTTTGTCAACTTCGTACTCGACGATGCGCACGGTGCCGTCCGCTTCGTGCAGCGAGTAGAAGCCCTTCACGACGTCGCCGTCGCGGGTCTCGTGCTGGCTCTTGTGGTCTCCGGTATGCGGGTCCTGTACCGAGTACTCGTACGCGTACTTTGGATGCGCGTAGTAGTCCTCGTGCTCGTGATGCTCTTGTTGGCCGCGCTGCTGGTACACCTGCTGGTTGTGCTGGGTGCGCTGCTCATTCTCGCTGTGGTGCAGCAATAGGCTTTGTGAAGAGGACGCGTGCTCATAGCCGCCATGTTGAGGGCGCGCTGCGGCCACCAAGAGTATGGCACTGGCTAGGATAACCTGAAATCCCCGAGAAGTAGAACTATCAGATATTAAACAGAAGAAATAGAAACTCATGAGGTCACTCAGTTTACACAAATCTGTGTGTCACTGTCACAATCAACATTGATATATAAATTATCGATTTATTGTAAAAAAATATTCCAATGCACTTTAATCTTAAATAGTAAAAAAATAAGTGAAAGTCATAGAAATGTTCAGCTTAAGAACACGATATCAATTGCCATATAACACACTTTTATTTAAAGACACCTAAATACACTTTTTTTCCAACTTACTTTTCCAATCATTTTGTATTTTTTTATTGAATAATGGCTTGTATGTACGAAATGTCAATTAATAATAAAGAAACTCGCAATAATATTTTATATTTAAGCCCAAATAATTGAGAGAAAGTAATTCCAAAAGCAATTTTTTACCAGTACCAGTTATTACACACGTGGGTGATATTTTGAACAAGAACGAATGTGACCTTGACTGAGGCAAGTTGATTATAAGCTTTCTTTGACATTGCAAAATAATTTCTTAAACTAAAATGATTACCTGTGGTGCTAATTCCCACAAAACAATATATCTTCCTTTATTTTGTGCTAATAGTTAGAACCAGAAAGCGTAGTCCAATAATAAATTTTATCTTAAATAACAGTGGGTGGAAAATAAAATACATTTAGCAAATTTATCATTTGCATTTACTCACTGTCTCAAAAATGTATATGTATTATATATTTTTTTAAGTTTTTTTATATTTATTTAAGCATTTAACTGCTACATATTTAAATTTAAAGAATATTTTAGCTAGAAAAAATCCTTGCGGTCCAAGCAGCAGACGGGACTCGAACCTGTGCCCTCCGGATAGCGATTTCTATAAAAAACTTTTTGATTTTTTTAATAGCACAAACATATCTCTCAATATGACTAATTTGAATCGGTCAATTGTAAAATGCCTATTAACAGCTGCTTCAACAAGTGGCTAACATCTAAAATTTTGAACGTTGGAACTCCACTGTGACATTTTTATTTTTACTATTGATGTCGCCGCTACTAATAAGCCTTTTCTATGGATGCAAAGGGGAGATAAGGCCACAGTTTACCACACTGTTGTAGTAGCGGATTGTTGGGTTGGTGGGCTAACACCTGCAGAAGACGAGTTTAACGTGCCTTCCAAAGCATAGAAGAGCTAGGAACGCACCAATCACTTGCGCCATCACGTTATCTTTAAAATGAACCATTTATATTTTTATAATTGAATGTTTTATTTGATGATCTATATGTGGGCTTTGTGGGTAATAATATTATAACTTTACGTGATATTCAACTTTACATGTTGAGCACAAAATGTTAAAGTACATTATTGATTAATCTACCTACCGCGTATGTAAAAGTAATCGACCTTTCCTCAAAAATGTTCAATCCGGCTGGATTATAAGACTGATTTTAAAACACGACAAGAACTGAGGTTTTCGTATAAAATTGGTCTGCAATATTGGAAATTATCACAATAAGCATACTTATTCATTACCAGTAGTCGCGTTTGGAACACAAAATATCAGAATGTATTTTAAGGTGCAATCTTTATTCGTTAAACTTGTTTACATACTTCAATCTAACAACAAATTCTGAACAAATGCTTAAATTAATAACTAAAATTATGTGGGATGTGGAACATGATAATAACATGTTTTAAGGATTTTTTTTAACTCAACTTTACTATTTTCATGTTCGTAGATAAGAAAGATACAATAACCATTTTTTCTTCAAATCACAGAACAAACTTGTAGTACCGTCAGAATTATATCTTCTGTTTGCAGATTGCAACTATTCTAGCCAGCTTTGGCTATTGTCTCGCTGTTGAGCATGCTTACTCGTCACAGAGTATCATACGTCACGATACACACGAGCAGCATCAACCGATCAAAGTGGTCGTTCCTGTGGAGAAGCATGTCATCATTCCCGTGGTGAAGAAAGTGGTGCCTGTAGGACACTACGTACAGGAGAGCCACAGCCAGCAACAGCAGACCCATGAGCAGGATTACCACCACCAGCCTGCCGTCTCCTCATTCCACATCGAGCGACACGACGTGCCCGCTCACCCGCCCGCGGACTGGCACAATTACAACGACGTGAGTACTCGCCGATGTGATGCGGTCATGGAGCTATCCGAGTCGACCGAGCATGTGATTGAGTGAATGTGTGCACACAGGGTCCCGCCAAGTACGAGTTCGAGTACCAGGTGCACGACCCGCACACCGGCGACTACAAGCAGCAGCACGAGGAGCGCGACGGACACGTGGTGCAGGGCACGTACAGCCTGCGCGAGCACGATGGCTCTGTGCGCACCGTCAAGTACTACGCTGACAAGAAGACCGGGTGAGTTTCATATTCGCAAGTTAAGACAACCTAGTGAATCGCCTTTAATAATAACAATGTTTACTAAGTGAATAATTATTTATTTAGTCATATTATGATTTATGATCAGCCAGAGACGTGGATTAGCTTTAATGCTTGTCACAGTGATTTGTTTTTCTTTATATTGTTTCATTCCATTGCTGTCGCAATGTAAGCGAGAACATGAATATCAATCTTTTCTGTCTCTATTCTGACTGTTACAGATTTAATGCCGAAGTAAAACATACTACGAAGCATATTGAAGAAAACAAGCACCATTGAACGTACACGTAAAAATACTGTGTTAAAAATGTTCTTATTTAATTTATTTCTATTAAATTACTGTTGTAAATTACTGTATTGATAACTTATTATTTCATTTACCCTATGTTAATGGCTGAAAATAAAAGGATGCTAGTGATCAAAAAAACCTGAGGCACTGCTGTCTCTACCATCAATCATCAAGAAACAAAACAAGTGAATAGCAAATGAAATAAAAATATTTTATATTCAAATTGAATCGTCAAAAGCTCTTTTGAATAGTCACCATTGATAAATAGAAAATACTGCCAACTGCTCCTGAAATGTGATATTTTTTGTTATGTTTGTAAATATTAAAAATTAAATTCGTTATATTAAGTCTGTTTCTGTTGGTGAGGTGGTTATTAATTTGATACAACCTGGTGCGTGTAACGCGATACAACGATACTGGAGTTTCAATCTTATCAAGTAAAATTCTCTCTATATAGAAAAGATTTTGAATTCAATTTTCACTGTTTGTGAAATTTTTGTTCTTTAATGTTAATATGAGATTCTTAGATTTGTTGGTAAATAAGTAAATTACTTATGAACCAAACGCAAATTGAGTTAAACTGGATGTACGTATTATACATGCAGTAATTGTGATTATATTAGACTACATCAATCCCTTTCAATGGGCCCTCTGAAAATTTTCTACGAATCCTAGCTAAGTCTTGGGATATACTGTTTTAAACTTTTGTCAGATGTCAACTTTTCGAGCGCAGTAAAAGACGACGTATGAGGGTAGTCTAATAGGTCTGTCAATAACATCTACCCGCAATAGGGTTTTTACAGTATTAAAAATAAAGTACTACATGTAAGTATCTATGTCTAGAATGAATATTGGCAGGGGTTAATACTATTTTTACAAAAAAATATTCATATTTTTACTAAAAACCCACGAAAAAGATAATAATTTTCTTATCCATTGTCACGTGACCCAAAACGCTTGGGATTGGCGAAGCCTAAAATGACGTCACACGCAAGTAAACTTCCGGTTAGTGTGACATTACATTGTATCGTTTGACGTTTTAATAACAGTCGTGTGACATCACATACTAGTAAGACGCCATATTGTCCAGAGAAACGTTATCGCGGCAACTTGAAAATGGAGTTTTGGATTTGTTTATTTTTACTGAAATACACAACAGAATGATGAATATCCACTTTTTACGGACTCCATAAACATTAGTCAATCACGTGAGATCGTTTTCTTAAACTTGTCAAATACCCTATTATTTCAGTTACACAGTGATCATGGCGCTTGCAACAGTGCCGAAATATCGACGACTCATGAAAAACAAGGTAGGTAACAATCCCGTTATTAGATATAATAGTTCTGGGATTGTTGTGACGATCGCAAAGTATATTTCTCAGCTATGGTCATAAACAACAGATATTAAAAAATGTAGGAAATAGTGGATGAAATTTACGACTTCAATTGAAACGCCCGTCTGTGAAAGAAAAATATATTTTACTTCAGGACAACATTGAAATATTGAGTTTGAGAGAGTTAGGGCACAGAGGAATTTCCGCTTGAATTGGAGCGCCCGTCTGGCGAAACAACCTTCGTGATTTGAACATCGAGCAATTACATGCTTCAAAAAGAATAAAATATAACTAGAAAATATTAATGTAATTTTCAGTCCATTTGTACTTATTTTTATATATAATATTATATAGAGAAATAATATTGGACTAACTTTTGTGTTTCAGAGTTCCAGGTGCTACTTATTAGCATAGAAAAAACGAACATCTTTTGCTATGTGGAAATTATAAAGAAATAACCGTTTTAGTTTTAGTTTTAAAAATAATTTTGCAATGTCAAAGAAAGGTGGGTGGGTCAGCTTAATTGCATAATGTGACCAACTTGCTCTCAGTCAAGGTCACTTTCGATCTTGTTCAAAATTATATCACCCACGTGTGTAATAACTGGTATAAGATTTTACGATTTTGCATTATTGCAAAAAGTTACCAATCGCATTACTATCTCTGTATTATTTCAGCTTAAGTTAAAAACATTATTGTGCGTTTCTATTCTATTGACATACATAATAGTCATTATACAATAAAAAATTACAAATGATAGCAAAAGTTGAAAAAAAGTGTCTTTAAATGATTTAAAAAAAGTCTGTAATGATATAAGTCAATTTATATCGTGTTCCGAAACTGACCATTTCTATGACTATAACTAAATGTTTTATTGTTAGAGATATATGTGCATTGGAATCATTTTTAATAATAAATCAACAGTTAATAAATCGGTGTTGTTAGTGACAGCGGCCAGATTAAGACACAAATTTGTATACACTAAATGAGTTCTTGAGTTTTTATTTCTTCTGTTTAATATCTGATAGTTCCACTGCATGGGGGTTTTTAGGTTATTTTAGCCGGTGCCATACTCTTGGTTGCCGCAGCGCTCCCTCAACATGGCGGCCACGAGCACGCGTCCTCTTCACAAAGCTTAGTGCTGCACCAATGCGGGCAGGGTGTGAAAAAATACCAAAAATTAACCTTATATCGCTTCCACTGCGGAAGTCATTGACAGTAGAGCAAAGTGGTGTACAAAAGTTTTATAGAATTTATTTCCCATTACTTATTTAATTTATTTCTACGTTAAAGAAGCGAATTCTCGCGTTTTTGACTGCGAATTTGGCTTCAGGTTTCTTTCTGTTAAGATTGCTAAGAATCTATCTCGCCAGCAGTGTTTCCGGACCGATAGGGCCCGAAAACCTCAAAAAAAGAGCGTAGGAACCTATACTAATGATAACCCTCCACAATGATTGGCCTTTTTGCATTTCTACTAAAATATAAAGATATTTATACATAAAATATTGAACACGACATCTTTTTATTATTCTTTGATGGCAATTTTTCAATCTTCAGTAAAAAAATCGAGTTCTACAATGTCGTTTTTTTGAATTAAAACAAAGTTTGGTTGTCGCCGGCTCGCCTTTGCTACAAAAAGTTAGCCTTTTAAAGATAAGTGTTTATAAACACGTTTTTTTCTAACTTAATGTTTCATTTTATAGACATAATAAGAAAAATATAACTACTGTATAAATGAAAATTGTAATTTAGCAGTTTCACCTAAAATTCAACAAAATATCAAAGTTTTGGTGTGCAATTTATTTGCTATACCAATATACATTACATATATACATTTACATATACATACATATACATTTGAAACATTTTCTGTTGATTGTGGGTTACCTATAATGCGAAGAGATGGCGCTGCCTTGCAGCTTAAGAATGGCTAGAAGAATTTCGACGCAGTCCATGAGGGCCGCGGTAGCATAATTGGTCAGTGCATTCGCCCGGATTGCGAGGGGTGCGGGTTCGAGTCCCGTCTGCTGCCTGATCCGCGTGGATTTTTTTCTAGTTATATTTTCTTTAGATTTTCTGTTGATTTTGAAATACTTTAATTCGTATTTATATTGAGCATTTTAAAGTCGATTTATTTTGTTACTAAAACCCCTATTTAATAGCATTGTGAGACCATATTCAATATAAAACCTATAATGAATTCACTACAGATAAAAAAAAGGAATTTCGCTTAAACGACCAATCATTATATAGTATACTCTACACCTTCCTCAAAGGTTGACATCGGATTTGTTATACTCCTGGTATTACAAAGTCTATGGAAGATGATATTCCCTAACTATCACGTGGACCGTCTGCTCGTTTGACTCTTATAATATAAAAAAAAAACTAAATTCGTTGTGAACTATCACGAGCAGCATAACAAACAACCCTTGACTTTATGTATATGTTTAGTATTAAGGTAAACGTCTAGTATTTATTGGTAATACAAAAAGATTGCTAATAATGAAAAAAAAAAATACTTATTATTAAATTTAGATCTATGGGATTTAACATTATGAGGTATTGATTGGATTTGTTCGAAAAGTAGAAAATATACACGCAATTTGAGTCAAAGTGCTTATTGATTTGAGTGCAGTAAATCTGTCATAAAATAATTTGATAAATCGATTTTTTGCGCAAAACCTAGTGATTTTGTGAAAACGCGATTATGCAATGGCGATGACATTTCAAAATGTTACTGAAAAAATTGGATTTTTGCGAAAACCCGAGTCGCCTCAGCAAGATTGCGAAAAAACCTTTCGCGTTGGATTATTTTAAATTTTCTTGGGTTTTTGGGTTCACACTAAGGTTAGATTAGTGTCCTGGCCATGACGAGGCAGCGGCCGCCGAAGCACCAACAAAAATTTCTTTAGCAGTAAGATCCAGCAATGTCATCATTCTCGTCCTTGTAAACAAAAGCAGATCTTTTATTATGTGTCTTTTTTTAAGTCATACCGAAAAAATATTATTTGGGCAGCAAGATTATAGAATTCGGCAGCCGAGAAACATTTCCTTATGCATTGTATTTGATTGGTCTCTGAGTTTTTGGATTCTCCTCCTCCCCGAATAGCAGAAAAACTATTGAAACATCACAAAAATATGCATAAAATTATTTTAGATATAAATTATGGTATTTCGCCGTCTTCCTCAATTGACAGCTTAAGTTACGCATATGAAAAGCTTAATTGTATTGCAAATCTGTGACTAATAAAACAAAGTGGTGTTAGTGAGAAAACTTATAACTCAGGAACGGTTGGACCGATTTGATTAAATCTGTTTTTTTGAATTCGTCTTCGCCCCGAATAGCAGAATAATTATAAAAATATAAGCAAAACCACGGAAAACAGTAATACAGAAAATCAATTTTCAATAAATAAACGAGGTCTGGTATTCAGCCATCTTCCACTATTGATACTGCATATAAATTGATACAGTCGTACCTCAGTTCCAGAATACAAACTGTAGAGGTAAATGGTGTTCGATCATCTGGATCTCATGTGGAAATGGGCGTTCCCCAGGGTTCAATTTTAGGACCCTTCCTATTTCTAGTATATGTAAATGATTTGCCATTTTTTGTGGAAAATTTGTGTGAGATTGTATTATTTGCTGATGACACATCTTTATTATTTAACGTTGACAGGCGCAAAAACAACTATGACGATGTGAATAATGCTCTCTCGCAAGTTCTGCAATGGTTTAATGTCAATAATTTAAAGCTAAATGCTAATAAAACCAAGTGTATTCAATTTTCCTTACCTAATGT